TTGGTTAATATAATAATAATAAATATTAATGTCACGACCCAAAATTCACTAAGGGTCGTGATGGCGCCGGACACTGCTGTCAGACAAGCCAACTAAAATACTTAATTAGATTCCAATTTAGACCATTTTGAAAACCCAGATTTTTCCTTCTAATTTCATAAGTAAAGAGACAACTGCTTCAATTCAAATTAAATAACAAGCGATTAATACAAAATATTTCAAAATCATTCCCAGAACCCGGTGTCACAAGTGCATGAGCAATTTCTAAGAAATGATATAATACACCATCCGTCCGGAATACAGTGGACAGAAAGTAAATACAATATATTCGAAGGGACTATACTAGCTGCCGGCCGCCTCGAATAATGCAACTCACCTAGCCCCCGAATCATCTGTGCTGCTACGCCCAATAGGCCACTAGAGTTACATATACCCGTGCAACAAAAATGCACAGAAGTGTAGTATGAGTACGAAAACAACGTGTACTCAATGAGTATCCCGTCTAATCTCGAAGAAGTAGAGACGAGATGGTCAACTTCGACACTTACTAGTGGTCCAATAATGATGTCAATAAGTCATTAAATCGTGGACTCTTATAAACATGATTTTTAATCCAATAGGAGGAAACAAGTAAACAATTATTTCTTTTATAGGAAGTTTCCCAAAATTTCCTTTTCATCATTTATCCAAATATTCTCAAGCCATGAAGAGGCAATAACAACTTCAATAAGTTCAAGGCAGCAATACAAGCATGCGCAAATCATGCCGAGGCGTACGGCCCGTTCCAACAAAAAATAAACTGTGCACTGCCGAGGGTCGAACGGCGCGAACCATAGATGCATCTATTTAATCTGCCGAGGTGTTCGGCCCATTCCATAAATAAACACACAGACAGTCAATCAAGAAGTCCACACGGAGTAATAATCCAATGAAAACAATTCCTCTTTTAACCTTTTAAGAAAAATAAAGTTTTATCTGTTAGAAACTCGTTTACTAATTCGATGTGATTAAAGCAATTCAAGCCATCAATAGGTTCGTAAATAATCCAAGTATAGCATGCTTTTGGGTCCTAACTACCCGGACAATTGCATAATAGTAGCTACGTACGGACTCTCGCCACCTCGTGCGTACGTAGCCCCCACAAATAGGAGCACATAATCAATTATTTCACCTATGGGGACAATTCCCTCTTACAAGGTTAGAAAGGAGACTCACCTCGCTCCGAAGATCCATAACCGGCATTCCACGCCCTTCCGAAGACTCGAATCGACACACAACGCTCCAAAACTAGCCAATGATTATACAAATCCATTAATATATGCTCAATTACTCATTACAATCCAATTTAATAGCAATTCCCAACCCCGATCGAAAAGTTGACAAAAAGGCCCTCGGGCCCACGTCCCCGGTATCCGAAATTTTTCGAAGATAAAGTTTACCCATAGATTCACGAACTCAAATATATAATTTTCTCTAAATTCCATACCCAAAATCATGGTCAAAATCCAAGAATACTAATTTTTTAAGTTTTTCCTCAAACCCCAAGTTTTCTACAATTTCCATGTTTAAATCCATATATAAACCTTGCATTTAAATCAAAAACTGGCATAAATTACTTACCTCATGATGAATGACGGAACCCCCTCTTCAAAAGCTCCAAAAATTGCCCAAGCCAAGAGAGAAATGGGTGAAATGAACTCAACCCCGATTTTTAAACATTCTGCCCAGCCCAGGTCCGCCCTTCTTCACGTTCGCGACATTCCACTCGCGTTCGCGAAGGCCAGTCACCCAGCCCTTCGCGTTCGCATATAAGGCCTCGCGTTCGCGTAGGCCAAAGACCCCAGGCCCAGCTTTTTCCTTCTACGCGTTCGCGATCTCCTCCTCGCGTTCGCGTAGCAGCTCAGCCCACCCCTTCGCGTTCGCGACTCCCCCTTCGCGTTCGCGGAGGCCAAAACCAGCAGCCTCCCACTTTCCTCTTCGCGTTCACGAGACTCCCTCCGCGTTCGCGAAGAAGGAAACCAGATACCAGCAACCAGCAGCAGCTTTTTACCCAAATTCGATCCGTTAACCACCCGGAATCCACCCGAGGCCCCCGGGACCCCAACCAATCATACCAACTAGTCCCAAAATACATTACGGACTTGCTCGAGGCCTCAAATCACATCAAACAACGCTAGAATCATGAATCGACCTCTAATCCAAGCTTTATGAACATTAGAACTTTAAACTTCTACTTTCGACGCTTAAACCTATCAAATCACGTCCGATTGACCTCAAATTTTGCACATAAGTCATATTCGATATTACGGACCTATTCCAACTTTTGGAATCGGATTCCGACCCCGATATCAAAAAGTCCACTTCCAGTCAAACTTCTCAAAAACCTTCAAATTTCTATCTTTAGCCAAATGGCTCCAAAATGACCTACGGACCTCCGAATTCACTTCCGATCGCGCTCCCAACTCCAGAATCACCATACGGAGCTGCTCCCGGACTCGAAATACCAAACGGACATCGATATCACTGAAATGCACTTCAACCCAAACTTATAAAATTTCTTTCAAAATGCTACTTTTCACAATAGGTGCCAAAACACTCTCGGGCCATCCAAAACCCGATCCGGGCATACGCCCAAGTCCGAAATCATCATACAAACCTGCTGGAACCTTCAGATCCCGATTTCGAGGTCGTTTACTCAAAATTCCAATCCTAGTTAATTCTTTCAACTTTAAGCTTCCGAAATGAGAATTCTCTTTCCAAATCAACTCTGAACTTCCCGAAACTTAATTCCGACCACGCGTACAAGTCATAATACCTGAAATGAAGCTGTTCATAGCCTCAGACTGCTGAACAATGCGCTAGAGCTCAAAACGACTTAATTTCTCATATGAATTTGTATGATAATCATTCTTTTATAAAAAACACATGTAATTAGGTTTAACCAATACCCATCCAATTAAATTCTTTGTATAATAGTTAAACCTAATAATATGGAGTCTTTTTTTATTTTTCATATTTTTCGGTTTGAGTTCCATTAAGGAATAAGATGAAATTTATATTATGTACTTGCGTAAATAGAATTTATTTTTACGACCATAATGAACATAATATTGTTACAAAATATATTCGAGTACGAGCAACATATTATTCTGTTATTTTTGAACCATCAAAGCAAATGCACAACTCATATACCAAAGTTATGATAAGACATAAAAACACTTTTGTATGATGTACATAGTTTTTCTTTATTAAATTGGCATTATAATCAATATTCATCATTTTCAAGAGTTTTTTTTTGGTTTGTTTGTTTTATAACTCAATCACATAGGTTAAGCTAGTAGGGTAAAAATGTAATGGAGTGATTAAAAATCACGCATATCATAATTTTCCAAAAACTTGATTAGCACACATGAATGACTTGACAAATAAGATGTTATATCATTCAAGATGAGGGACATATTGACTCAAACTAAAGACGACAACGATAACAACAACAACTCAGTTGAATCCCACAAGTGAGGTCTGAAAAGAGTAGTGTGTGCGTAGATCTTAGCCCTACCCTGAGAAGGTAGAGAGGTTGTTTCCGATAGACCCCCAGCTCAAGAAAGAGAAAAGAACCAGTGGAAACAAGTAATATCAGCAAATATGCTAGAAAGATAGTAACAACAATCTCAAAGTCAAAAATAGATGGAAAAAAGAGGTAGCAACAAGTCAACAACATGCAGTGACAACAACAGGTACTTAGAGACCGAAGCGGAAGAAAATAGGAAAATAGGATAAAATACTAACAATCTAAGACAAAAAATTACCATACTAACCCTAATTCCCTCGGTCCGTAACAGAAATACGCTCGACTATCTATAACTTCTATCCTAATCATTGACGTTCACACCCTCTTATCAAGGGTTATGTCCTCGGTAAGCTGTAACAGAGCCATGTCCTATCTAACCACCTCTCCCCAATACTTCATAGGCCTCCCTCTACCTCTTCTCATACCCACCAAAGCCAACCGCTCGCACCTCCTTACTGGGACATCCGAACTTCTCCTCTGCACATGCCCGGACCATCTTATTCTCGCTTCCCTCATTTTGTTCTCCACGGGGTCATGCCCACCTTTAGCCGGATATCTTCATTCCTAACCTTAGCCAACCTGGTATGTTCACACATCCATCTCAACTTGCTCATCTCTGCTACTTTCATCTTGTGGGTATGAGATTTATTGACTGGCCAGCATTTTAATCCATACAACATAGTCGCTCTAACGACAACTCTGTAGAACCTCTTTTAATATAAGTTTCGGTAGCACATTCTTATCACACAAGACTCTGGAAGCTAGCCTTTATTTTATCCACGCCACTCCAATACAATGTGTTACATCCTTATCTATCTCCCCATTCCCTTGGATAACTTGCCAACATGCTCTCATGGGGATGAGTTGTGAGTCTAGGCTCAAGTCGTGAGCATGCCCAAAACTCGAGGATTCCAAAGCAAGCAACTCCAACGACCCTTGTAACGACATCACAATACTGGATTCACCGTTTCGTAATTTGGTCTTACCTTTATCCCTTTTAAATGATTAACCTTGTCAATTAACAGTTCTTGCTAAAAAAATTCAAATGACGTACCTGAAAAAATTTGTACGTCCAGGGGCGGAGCTAGCCCTCTGTTTATGCGTTCGGCCGAACCTAATAGTTTTTGTGCAGATTTTGTATTTGTCTGGTGAAATTCATGTAATATGTACAAATTATTATTTTAGAACCCAGTAACTTAAAAGAACTAGAATTCCGAACCTATAAACTTCAAATTCTGGCTCCGCCTCTGTGTACATCCGACAAGAGATATAAGACAAATTGAAGTTTGCCGTCTCTATCCATTGACCGCATAATGGAAAAAATAATAAGTTGATTGAAAATATTATAATAAAAAAGTTTATACTTCAAACAATTAGTTAAATTTATAAAATTCTTGAAGGGTATTAAAATAGTACAGTAGTAGAATAATGTTATCCAAACAGTAAGCTTCTAAATCGGACAGAGAGCATTTGTTTTACTCAGCTCACACAAAGCTCCCCCGTCGGTACTTGTTTTCAGCTGAAGAAATTACATTACACACGTTAGAAGCATGGGCCAAGAAAGCACATTCACAGCCCAGAAACGCGCCGGTGCACTCCCTGTAACAACCGCCACCGCCAATGGCGGCGTCCGCAGCCGCTCCGCCACCAATTCTTCCGCCTTACCACGCGGCCGTCAGATCCAACGTACATTCAACAACGTCAAAATCACCATCCTCTGCGGCTTCGTCACTATCCTCGTCCTACGTGGTACCGTCGGCATTGGCAACCTCTCATCCTCCGACGCCGAGACTCAGAATCTCATAGAAGAAACTAATCGGATCCTCGCCGAAATGCGATCCGATAAGGACCCGGACGACCCGGTTGATCAACCCGAGACTTTCATGAGCCTGAATGAGACTTATAGTTTAGGTCCGAAGATTGTTAATTGGGATAAAGAACGGAAAATGTGGCTCCAGAAGAATCCAGAATTTCCGAATTTGGTTAATGGTAAACCTCGGATATTACTTGTAACCGGTTCTCCTCCAAATCCTTGTGATAATGCAATTGGAGATCATTATTTGTTGAAGGCAATAAAGAACAAGATTGATTATTGTCGGATTCATGGTATTGAAATTCTGTATAATTTAGCTCATTTGGATAAGGAAATGGCTGGTTATTGGTCCAAACTGCCATTGATTCGTAGGCTAATGTTATCTCACCCTGAAGTAGAATGGATTTGGTGGATGGACAGTGATGCATTGTTTACTGATATGGTTTTCGAGATCCCTTTATCCAAGTATAATCGTCATAATCTTGTTATTCACGGGTACCCGGATTTGTTGTTTGATCAGAAATCATGGATTGCAGTGAACACCGGTAGTTTTCTCTTTAGGAATTGCCAGTGGTCTCTTGATTTGTTGGATGCTTGGGCACCGATGGGACCTAAAGGTCCTATTCGAGATGAAGCTGGGAAGATTTTGACAGCTAATTTAAAGGGTAGACCAGCATTTGAAGCGGATGATCAGTCTGCGCTAATATACTTGTTCATATCACAGAAGGATAAATGGATGCAGAAGGTGTTTGTTGAGAATTCTTATTATCTACACGGATATTGGGCGGGGTTAGTTGATAGGTATGAAGAGATGATTGAGAAGTACCATCCCGGTTTAGGCGATGAGAGATGGCCATTTGTTACTCATTTTGTAGGATGCAAGCCTTGTGGGAGTTATGGAGATTACCCTGTTGAGAGATGCTTGAAAAGCATGGAGAGGGCTTTCAATTTTGCAGATAATCAAGTGCTTAACTTATACGGGTTTAGGCATAAAGGATTGTTGAGTCCTAACATCAAAAGGATTAGGAATGAATCTGATCACCCGCTGCAGTACGTAGATCAGTTAGATGTTCGACGTGCAAAGCACAAGAGCACATGAACTGATAGCTAGGGAGTACATTGTCTTTCGCAGGAAATAATCTGCAGGTATAAGAGATATTTACTTTCTTTTTGTTGAATGTATAGATTTTTTCAAACATCAATTTTATTGGTTGTGTCGACTAGACCTAGTTTGTTAAGTGCCAAAACATTAGCTTTGCCACTATCAGATACTGATCCGTGCGAAAGAGGCTTACATGGATATGAATGATTGAAGAGATAGCCTCTTTGAACAGCAAGCTTTGTGCTTTTCTTAGCTCTAATAAGATTTCTTCATTTATTGGCTAACTCGGCTCTTGGCTTTTTCTAGCTCTTTCCTCCAATTCACCTAATGCTAGTCAGTAGTCACTATAATTCTGTGCTGATTGAGGTATTGCCATGGATATGCATATGGATTCACTATGTGCTGATTGAAGTATTAACTACTTACTATATGAATGTGGAGAAGTGTCATATGGATTATAGGAATCTATTGATTCATTTAGCAGATTGGTCTAGTCCAGTGTGTCAACTCTTCATACATGCTCATATTGAATGAAGAATAGGTATAACCACAGTTGGTTTCATTGACGCTTATTTTAAGATGCTATATAACCACAGTTGGTTGCAGTGATGCGATTTCGAATGGCTATACTTTCGATGACATGCAAGCACCATTTTCCATTTTTGCGATTTTAAGACATTATTTTTTCTCATAACCGTGGTGTCCGGGCCGCTAGCGCACCTCGACTAATTTCACGGGATAATTGGTACCTCCACCAGCAACAAGTACCAGGTAACTCTATCCACAAAGTTTGGACAGATGAGAAGAAATCACCTAGTATTTTTTGTCTCCACTGGAATTCGAACCCGAGACCTCAGGTTCTCAACCTACTTCATTGACCAGGCCACAACCTTGGGTGCGATTTTGAGACATTATATAACCACAATTGGTTGCAATAATGCGATTTCGAATCTCTATACTTTCGATGACATGCAAATCTGCAGAAAGTAATGCAAATTGCATCAATTATTGAAGCTTGTTCGAGCTTCAGCTAGTGTGGAGACGTTTTCTTTACTGCATGTTTGAGCAGAGCATTGTGTGTCGAACCAAGGATTTGATATCATAATAGTATTAACTATTTCTTCTCCTCAGCCTCTAAAATCTGCAAAAGTGTGGTGACTATTCTCCAATATTGGCAGTTTTTCTGGGTCTGCCTTGGGAGGTGCTGATGAAAGGCTTGATCTCTCGCACCAATCAAAAAATTAAAAAAAAGAAGGATTTGATCTGTCTCGAACGAGAATGGCACTCTTGCTTCTTCTGCCTCTCTTACTGTTGTAGCGAAGCATCGCATGATGAGGACAGAATGTCTTTTTATTTGATCTACCACGGAGGAAGTCTGTTTTTAAGTTTGATTATTTGTAGCAACATTTTAGCTTCTGAGCAGTTGATGGAATTCGCAGCTGTATGAAATCATGACCAGTAAAAGGAGGAACTGCTGGAATCATCAGACAAAATCAATAGAATTTGCATAGATAGCCTCAAGATATCACGATAACACTTGTATAATTGCAATTCTTTGTCACTACTTTATTGTTCATTTTTTGGTATGTCGTAGTGGACAAAAAATTTTGATTTTGACCTTGGAAGTTTACCAGTGTTAATACATGTTCTTTGGTTCTTTTGCCCATTTTTTATAGTTTGGTTAGCCCCTTTATATCATTACTCATCCAAGCAGTTGCCGGCTAGTTGATTAAGGCATGTATTAACGAAGATATGTATTATTTACAATGTCATTATAGACAATTATATATAGTTATGAGTTAAAATGCCATTATACAACATTTTAGAGGCATGTATGAGCGAATATATGTCCCTTATAGGGATGTCAAATGGATGGGTTAGGCTGATTTTGGGCGGGTCAAAATGGGCTGAGTCAATAAATAGAGTAAAAATAGCACGGTATAGCCAGTTTTCGGACTGGTCAATCAAAAATAGCCAGCGTTTACCAAGTCAATGAAAAATAGCCACTATTTTGCTGCAATAGAGACCGGTCCAGCATAATATACTGGAGTTCGCGCACTTGTGTATGAACTCCAGCATATTATGCTGGACCGGTATACTTTGCTGGCTCCAGTATAATATACTGGAGACTGGAGCACCGGTGCTCCAAACTCCAGTATATTATACTGGACCAATATACTTGCTGGAACTCCAGTATATTATGTTGGAGTTCTAGTGTACTTATGCTGGAGTTCCAGCATACTCATTCTGGAACTCCAGTATAATATGCTGGAGTTCAAGTATACTTATGCTGGAACTCCAGCATAATATACTGGAGTATTTTCCGGGTTTTGAACAGTGTTTTCGCTCAGATTTATCTTTATATAAAAAGTGGCTAAATTTCGATTACTTTTGAAATTGGGCTATTTTTGAACGACCAGTTGTAAATCTGGCTATTTTTAAAATTTACCCATAAATGGGGGGTCAATGACTCGCTCAAAAGTTACTTGGGTTGGGTCAAAATGGGCTAAAGTTGTAAAAATAGCACAGGCTAGCCAGTTTTCGGATTTGTAATTAAAAAATAGCCAGTATTTGCAAAGTCATTGAAAAATAGCCATTGTTTTGCTGAAATATGAAAAGTTTCAGCATAATATGCTGGATTATGGAACTCCTGTGCATAAACTTCCAGCAAATTATGTTGGAACTCCAGCACACCGAAAGTTCCAGTATAATATGTTGAATTATGGAGCTCTTGCGTATAAACTTTTAGCATATTATGTTGGAAATCCAACATATTATGATATTCCAGCACATTATGCTAGAATCTCATATGTAAAAATTTGAACTCCAGCATATTATGCTGGAATTTTTTCGGATTTTCAAGGGTGTTTTTGTTCAGATTTTATCTTTATATGAAAAAGTGGCTAAATTTCGATTACTTTTGAAACTGTAGCTATTTTTCAATTACTAGTTGTAAATCTGGCTGTTTCTAATTTTTTTACTCTAAAATTTGCGTCATAGTCCAACCCACCATATTCTTATCAAGCTTTAATTGATGTATTATTTTCTTATAAATTATTTAATTATCAAATAAGACTTTCTTCTTTTATTATGATTATATATAACATATCTAACAAAAGAAGAATTATTTTTAAGATACTTTAGTAAAATTATTCATGGATCAATTTTAACTAAAAATTAGCCAAACTTTAGATGAGCCGAGATAGGTTGAGTTCCACAATTGAGCGGGTTAATGATCGGCCCAACTTTGGACGGATTGGATGGGTCAAATGGGTTTGGGCTCAAATTGCCACCTCTAATCCCTTAGTTGTGATAAACGTTAAAATAGCACGGTATAGCCAGTTTTCAGACTGTTCATTCAAAAATAGTCAGCGCTTACCAAGTCAATAAAAAATAGCCACTATTTTGCTGCAGCAGAGACCGGTCCAGCATAATATACTGGAGTTCGGTGCACCTGTGTATGAACTCCAGCATATTATGCTGGACCGGTATACTTTGCTGGCTCCAGTATAATATACTAGAGACTGGAGCACCGGTGCTCCAAACTCCAGTATATTATGCTGGACCGGTATACTTGCTGGAACTCCAGTATATTATGCTGGATTCTAGTGTACTTATGCTGGAACTCCATCTTATTATGCTGGAGTTCCAGCATACTTATCTTGGAACTCTAGTATAATATGCTGGAGTTCAAGTATACTTATGCTGGAACTCCAGCATAATATGCTGGCGTATTTTCCGGGTTTTGAACAGTGTTTTCGCTCAGATTTATCTTTACATGAAAAGTGGCTAAATATCGATTACTTTTGAAACTGGGATATTTTTGAACGACCAGTTGTAAATCTGGCTATTTTTGAATTTCACCCGTGATAATCTGATAATTTATGCCTCGATACATGGCTTACGATTGATTGATGAAGTCCCGGTGTGCCAAAAATCACTTTCTATTTTAACTCCACATTTTCATAGTATTTCTTCTTTTATGACCTTTTAAAAATATAGATTTATCTTTTAGGCAGTAGTGTAAATAACTTTTACATTGTTCTTGTAATTAACCTATCGTGGCAAGTTGTTTCCTTATTTTTCAGGTAACCCAATCCTCTAATTATGGGCAATTACATTGTAGTTATCTTTTCTCATTGATGAACATGAAATTCCACAATGATCAGTTGGGATACAGTTTGAAACTCAGTGGATAAGGGATTGGTCCATCTGTCTTTTTCCACTTAAAATCATATTTTTGTTTGCACTTTGTAGTAGTGTTTGAATTCGTGACGTTGTTAGTACCAAAACTGAGTCGCAGGTAGTCGCAAATCTCTAAGGAATCAAATGAAAAGATTAGCTCCTGAACAAGAATTGCAGAAGAAAATTGTAGAGAAGAAGAATAGAGAAGGGGTCGAGATGATATTATTTCCAGTAATTCCCAACATGGTGCGGTTGCAGACTTTCGAGGACATGGCCTTTGATAGAAAATTGTGGAGGTCGAGCATTAGGGTTGTAGATTAAGAGATAGGAGGCTAGTATGATAGTGTTTTGTTTTAGGCTGCTAGTGGCTCCAGTTGTGTTCTTAATACTTTAGGGTCGTAGGTTAGGCTGTAGTATGTTTAGTGGCCCTTTGTGTCCATATTATTCCCTTGCGTCTGTAGTACTGTGCCTTTGTTACTGTTTAGTATTATTACTTTGCTTTCTATTTTCTGGTCATTGCACTGCTGGTGTTATCTTTCTGGATTTCTTTGCTATTACTGATACACTGTCTCTTTCCTTCTTGTGCCGAGGGTCTATCGGAAACAGCCTCTCTACTCCTCCGGAGTAGGGGTAAGGTCTGCGCACACACTACACTCCCCAGACCCCACTTGTGGGATCGCACTGGGTTGTTGTTGTTGTTGTCCCAACGATACAAGTTGGGAAGGCACTGCAGATTTCGCATTTGCAAAGCTCCTGCTGTTTATGCGAACTGCCCCTCTTCGTATTTGCGAAGTTTTTGGTCGCATTTGCGACCACGGCCGTGATGGCCAGCCTTTCCATTTGCGATGGTTTTGCCGCATTTGCGAACATTGCGACACCTGCGACCTGTGCAATAGCTTTTATTGCGGGACTTAGCTTTATTTCCCTCATTTTCCACTTGGTCTTAGACAATTTTGAGTGCATTTTGGGAGGGGTTCCATCAACATCAAGAGGTAAGTGATCCTTATCAATTCTTTAGCTAAATACACGAATCATAAGTAGATTTAACAAGGAAAATGGTAGGATTTATAGGAAAACCTAGGGTTTTTGATAAAAATGGGATTTAACCACGAAAATGGTTATGGAATTTAGTGAAAATTATATATTTGAGTTCGTGAGGTTATGGGTAACAACTTTCTTCAAAAAATTTTGGAATCCGAGCACGTGGGCCCGGTGGTGAATTTTGGGGATCTTTCAATTGGGGTTGGGTAATTACTCAAATAGTTAAATTACGAACTTTCGAACATGTATTGATTAATTTATATATCATTTGTCAGGTTTCGGATCATTTGGCACCGGGTTGAGGCTTTAGAACAAAATTTGTGACCGGAAAGTAAGCTTTAGGACGAGGTAAGTCTCTTTTCTAACCTTCTAAGAGGGAATTGACCCGATAGGTGATTTTAATTAATATGTGCTTTTAATTGTGGGGGGCTACATACGTATGAGGTGACGAGAGTCCGTGCGTAGCTACTAATTATGCTTATGTCCGGGTAGTTTAGGACCCAAATTATGTTATAATTGCGATGTTTGCACCCTACTTGTTAATTTATGTGCTTAAATCATATTGGAACTTGATAAAGGATTTGTAAAAAGATCGAACTTTATTTACTTGAGTTTTGACGGGTTACTTGACCGTTAATAAGAATTGGTGCTTCTTTGTATATTACCCTCTTAATAATCTTTGAACCGGTTGTTTATAAAGTATCTTCTATTCTTGTGGAGCGGGCCGAACGCCTCGACAGTAGAATAGATGCATCTATGGTTCGTGCCGTTCGAACCTCGGCAATGCACAGTTTATATATTTGTATTTTGGATCGGGCCGTACAACCTCGGCATAATTCGTGCGTAATGATACTTTGAGCCCAACTATACTTGATATCGTTTATTTGGCTTAAGAGGTTAAATTGTTAAATGGTGGAAATTAATTTGGGATTTACGATCAGTAAAAGAATTGTTTACTTTATTTCTCGTTATTGATTTCAGTTTATTTATATAACCCATGCTTATGTAGAATTTCAGTATTTTATTATTAGACCATAGTAAGTATCGAAGTCGACCCATCGTCACTACTTCTTTGAGGTTAGACTAGATACTTACTGGATACATGTTGTTTATGTACTCACGCTACACTTCTGCACTACCCGTGCAGGATTTGAGGCAGGTGTATCTGGTTATCATCCCAGCACACACTCCTGATTCTCCGAGGCTTCATGGTGAGCGTGAGTTGCCTTCCGAGCCCGTTCCGCAGCTTTCTATTGCATTTACTTTTTGTCTACTTTAATTCAGGCAGTAGTTTAGTATTTTTGTATATTCTACTAGTAGCTCATATACTTGTAACACCAGGTCTTGGAAATTATACTAGTAGACACATGATGATTTTTGGATATTTACTTATCTCATTTGCTCTTAGAATCATTTATCTCTCATTTTATTAAATTTTCACTT